CTATACTCTTATTTAGAATTATCTGTTCAACATGCGTTTCACATTTTCATTCACCATCCATCAGGTTTGACAGCTGACTGGCGATTCAGTGACAGAACACCGGTGTTGTGCTAATTCTGGGTTATTTTTGTGGGGGCTGTCATACTGAATTTTCGAAGAATATTTTTTTAAATAATCCAAATTTTGAAGAAAAAAATCTGTAATCTAGTAGGCTTTTACAATCCAGTGACGTAATATTTCTGCCAAATACATAAAAATAGGCATGTTATGACTAAATCTCTGAACCCCCCCCTCCGCCTCCTGCTCTGATGTTTACTCGTCAAAATAATTTTTTAGATTTTTTCCAATTTATTTTGGTAATCTCTCGTAGCTAGCTGGCAATTCTGCATCTTGGATGAGCTGATAGCCATGACTAAGAGACAAGACAGGCAGTTACCATCCCATAGACGTACCCTAGATGTGCCCACATCACACACTAAGAGGACACTACTAATGATGTTATTCCTGTAACTAATAAACATGGTATGATAAGGGGGGACCAGGTACTAGCTACACTTCAGAATACCATGAGAATGCCATAGAATGCATCAAGATTGAAAATCTGATCATAATTAACAGACTTCGTCCTCGAGTGCGACATCCCCCTTAAGGCTTACACAGTGACAACGAAGAAGAATTAGACTTTAGTTACCATCCCAGTTTAATATTTGAGCCCATCAAGAGCTCCAAATGCTGAAATAAGTTATCAAAATCAAAGCAATCCAGTCAGTAGAAAAAAGCGAACTAAAGTTTAACGTTACCAGATTATAAAATTATTTAGTTTATTATTTTACAGTGTAAACGTACTTTATCTTGTAGTACATACCGAGGTGAAGAGAATATGTCCCGGGGAGTGTTGGTGGGCAGAGCCCCCCATCAACCCTCCCCTCAGGCAGTGCCCAAAGGGCACACCTAGGCATGGCAACTTAAATTGTTATATATGGCTGGTTTAATGGTCAATACATCTTTTGGGGGATTTCAAAAGTGTGAATTCCTATAGAATTTGCCAAAAGGTCGGTTGAGTTCCTGAAGAATTTTTGAATTTGACGCTTTAGTACGTAGAATGTCAAAGATAGCAGTTACATCCATAGTTTCATTGACCAATATTAAGCATTTTTTTGTCCTAGTTTTACAATTTTTTTTATCTTTATTCTTCTTATTTAAGCCTGTTTTACCCATAATTTCCCTGATATACTTCATGCCCTCCCCTGATATCAGGTCTAACAAATCACGATCGTTGATGGAGAAATGCTATTTGATCTCAAGGATTCATTCGCAAAAGAAACAACAGAATAAGTTAAAGACACCGACACGTGTAGAGAGAGAAAAAAAAGGACAGTGCTATCTTATAGAGCGGAAAAAATAGAGTGGGATAGAACATATTTTAAGCTGCAAAGCCTTATGGTCACCACTAAATGATGAAAATATAACACGCCTCTCAAATTCAAAGTCGATGAGCTTCTTATATAGAGCTAGAACACCGGTGAGAAATGTTGCGTTTCCAGTGTTGTGTTGATTCTGGGTTCTTTTTAAGACTTTTATAGTAGCATAGAAGAATAATTAGACTTTAGTAACCATTCCAGTTTTATATCTAGGCCCATCAAAAGCTCCAAATGACGAAAAAGGTGATTAAAATCGAAGCAATCCCGACGGTACAAAGAAGCAACGAAAGTTTGATGTTTCCAGATATAAAGGTATTTGGTTTATCATTTTACTGTGTGAATGCAGCTCTATCTTGCCGTGCGTACCAAGGTGGAGAGAATGTGTCCCGGGGTTGTTGGGGGAATTGCCCCCATCAACACTCCCCTCGGGCAGTGCCCAAAGGGCACGCCTAGTCACAGCAATTTAAATTGATATATTAGGTTGGTTTATTGGTCAATACGTTTTTTTTTGGGGGGGGGTTGGAACGTGTAAATTCCTGTAGAGTTTTGCTGAAAAAGTGGGTTGGGTTCCATGGAGTTTTTGGTTTCTGGTGCGTCAGTCTGTAGAATTTCAAAGATGGCAGTTACATCAGTAAAGTTTCATTGGCTGATTTTAAGCATTTTTAGTGCTAGTTTTACACATTTTTTATCTTTATTCTTCTTATTTAAGCTTGTTTTTCCTAATAATTACCCGGATATACTTCATGCCCTCCCCTGCTAACGGGACTATCAAATCAAGATCATCAATTGAGAAATGGTACTCGACCTCCTGAACGACTCATTCGCTGAAGAAACAACGCCGAAAATCAATGAAATCATTGGATTTCCTGCAAAAAAAAACATCAATTTTTTTTTACAGTCTCTGGGAGGGTGCGTCGCTCTCTGTAACAATTACCGAAACAACACTAAGACTCAAGGAAATCATTGCATTTCCTGCAGAAAAACATCATTTTTTTTCAATTTAGTCTCTGGGAGGGTGCATTGCTATCGGTGACAATTACTGCTATTAAAAGCATGCTCCTATATTTACTAATATTCAATATGTCTAAAATGCAGGAATTGCTTCATCAACAATAAATAATGTAAAATCAAAAACAAGCATAAACAAAACCTGCTCAGCTTGATAGGAAACTACAGGGTAAAA